ACTCTAGTTCGAGTTCGAAAGCTCGGGCAAATAAACTTACTGTCCCAGTGATCGTGCCTTCGACTTCTTTTAAACTTGTTTACCTTTCCAAAAGTATTTATTTTTTCCGAATATATATATATATATATATATCACGTGTGCTAACTCCTGACGTTTAAAAGAAAGTTTCAAAATGAGACTTCATTTCGAAAATGTCACTTAAGTAGTGTGGAAATCGTCTTAATTGTTCATCATATTTAACGAGTTTTAAGTATGAACTAATATAAGTCTGAATTTACCCTTTTCCCAAGCATGCACTATAAAGTAAACGGATTTTTTGTCAAGTCAGTGCAAAAATCAATATTGTGATGCATGTTTTACATAAGATACGGTCGAATTTTTAAGGGCATCAAACATCAGTGAGAATAATTTATGCAACATAAGAAGTCATTTCGATAGAGTGTGGTTTTGAGTGCGGCCTGATCGAATATAGTTCAAAGGCGGCATCCCAAAGTTTTCAGATTATTGTTGAATTATGCGGCTTGGTGATTAATTTAAAAACATCACACAAATTATCCTTTAGAAACGAAGACGTATTTTGGAAGGTCAAGTAGCAGTTCCTGAGTTCGAACAAGTACTGTAATAACAAGTAGTACTTTAATAGCGCACACATGTCAATTAACATAATAATGACGACGGATGTCCGCAATAGAAATTATGCACTGGCCACAAATTTCAGAGATGACGCGATGGCGCCTTACTACGACCGTCCAAAATGGCTTTAATCAGGAGTCCTCGCAACTGAATTGATGTTGTGGCTGACTGAACGGTTTGTTAGGAATATCACATATAGATAAGTAATATGGGTAAAGATTCAAGGTCCAGATAGTGTATCGCGTTCATCATCCCCCGAGGAAGACAAAGAACACGTAAGGGCGAATTCATGGACCGAGTTATACTTGCACTGACGTTTCGGAAACCCTCTCGTTTCCATCCTCTGAGTAATGTGTTGACTGTTCCTACCGGTCTTGATTCCGTCAGCCTTGATACCTGACTAATATTATATCCGTGCGCGAGGCACAAACTTTGACCTGCCCCTTCGCCGCCGATTAGCGTTTACCTCTCCACGATTGACCGCCGGTCGGCTCCTGCCACTAATGACCCCTTTTCGGCCGTCGTAATTGTTGGTGAGCCAGCATGTTTGTCGGCCTCCCCATCGTCACTCAACGGACTGATTTGTTGTTGGAACTCATGCGAGTTGATCTCAGCCTCGTGGTCGTTGCGGTGATGGGGCGCGGCATGCTGGTCACATGACCCTCGGCCGGCTTCTCTCCCACTCTCTGCCGTCATCAGCTGTCGGCCACGCGTCACTTTGCTCGACTGTCCTGATGGCCTTGTCCGCAATGACTCGAGCATTGTACGTACCGCCTGATAGGTGGGATGCAGATCTATGGCTCTATTTAGTATGCCAGTCTAGGACCAAATCTCGAGCACCAGTCTAGCCATCTTATCATTGGCTCGGCCGATTGCCCTTGCCTTTTCAAAGGCGAAATTGTGGTTCTGCTGTTTGACTTGGCCATAAACCATGCACAGCTTGTCCTTGTGGTTGATTGCAAGTCGGGGTTCATGCAATCTTGTATCAGGACGTTTGCGCGTTTCACCAACATACCTTGCATTACAGTTTTGGCATGGTATGCTGTAGACCACCGCTGATTTTTCTGTCACCGTTAGCGTTTCTTTGGGCCTCATTATTTGTTGTCTGATTGTTGACTCTAGCTTATGAGCTAACACTACAGTATTGCTGTATTTTACGTTTATGCATGAAATGTCCGGTAAGACTTTTGATGTAGGAATGTTTCAAGGATAAGGTGTATGTTGTCTGTCCTTTCTAGAACACAGTCCACATTCCTGGTAGTGTTGTGTTAGTAAGGTTGCTGAACATTTCGGTCAAATGGTCTGTAGGCGTATGCCAGGCCGTTATCAGCAAACCATGGCGCTCTCATCCTTCGAAGCAGTGGCAGTTTCCTGACACCCGGTTTTCCTGTCCGTAGATGCGTTTACGTTTCCTCTAGGTACACGGGGGATAAGGATACCTGCCCAGTCATCCTTTCTGCTCAGGCCCCTTTTCAAGTATAGTTATCGTTATAGAACCTGTTGTTGTTGTTTGTCAAAACCTGATCATTTGCTGTGTGGATCGGAGTATGTGGAGTGGAAGGCCAAAGTGCGGGCTCGACAGTGCCATCGTCAATGTGCGCCCTCCCCCGCCTCTGGTCTTTATGACTCTGTATTGACACCGGCTCCAGGCCCAAGTCTACTATCACTTTAACCTATTGCGTACGCGAGTCACCGTCCTAGATCTCACCATACAGCAGATAACGCGGTGGACATCATCTAACTTGACGGTCGAAATATCTTAATGTATTTCAAGGCAACATAATTTAATGAAAACAAAAGTAACGTCCACATAAGACACGTATAATTCGTGACTAGTTAATCATTTGCTCGTAATTTCAAATTCCAGTAATTTATTTTTAGCAAGACGACCGGAATAAGGGAACCAACGTCGATTTTGGACATGCCGTACGTTGAGTGGCGGCGAAGAGGGTTTTACAACGACAGCAACACACAGGACGGACAGCAAGGAGACAGAGATCATAGGTTCACTGCTGCCGAAATTATTATCATACGCTGCCATTTGGCAAATGTCATCACAGTAATTAAAAAGGCAACAAGATTCAACTTTCAAAAATAACGAACCTTGCGCATTGCGTCGCTGGTTAGAGTACATTTAGTCACGGAACGGAAGGAAATTGCAAAACAATGGGAACGGTGAATAATAAGAGATGTTTGCAGTCACGCTGAATTTCGGGGTATATTTTTCGAGTTGAGTTGTTATCTACCTGAGATGAGTACACGATAACGTTTCCGAACGCGATTCACTTTTTCAAGTTTTCAGCCCAGCTTTTGCCAGTGGAATAGATCTTATCGAAAGAAACTCGTCTTTCGTCAGAAAGAGATCAACTATGCAACAACGAATCGGGGAAATCAAGTAGAAGAATTCTGCATAGCAAGGCAATACCGACATAATTGGCATTTTCACAGTATCCAATTCCCAATGTCCTTGAGGGTTGTACGTTGATGTTCAGTGACGTTGCCAGTAGGTGGGATTAGATGACTGAGTGTCGTACAGTAGGCGGTCTTTAGGTGCTAAGTCAAATCTACCGTCATTGTGCATGTGCATATGCAATACGCATTGATTTTTTCTTTTACAATCGGCGGGTATATCTTCAGATATCATCTAAATATTGCGTTTCTTCCTAATAGATGCAAATTGGGAAGGTTTTCGTGTAAGGCATTCACATCATCCCTTTAAAATATGGACCACTGTAACCGGCGATGTACGACGTGCGCTACAATGCAAGTTGAGTTTGCCACGGTGGTATGTGAATGAATTAGTTTATAGTGAGAGTAGAACTGCGCCGCATCTACCGAACTCCCATTCCCCCCACGCTCCCGCATCAAACAGGAATGGCCGAACACGCGGCAGCAGTGCGCAGAAATGACGCCAGCTCTCAAGTTGCGGCTCATTCGACGAGATCCGGCCACACATTCCGATTCGATGAGGCCGAAATTCTTGCAAGAGTTTACAACCGCGTGAACCGGGGGCTACTTAAATCATGGTTTACTGGCCCCAGTCCATCAACAAGTGCAACGATATTCCCACTCAATACTCCGTGCTAAAACTTCGCATAGGCCGAGTAATAAGTCATGCAGTTAGCGCAGAGGTGAACACTTTTCCCAACACCGGGGTCGGTACGTCAGATGGTCGAGCATTCATCACGCCAACATCCAACGCACGTGATGAAATTGCAGCAATTATCGACTCGACTGTCGGCCATCAAGCAATGATCACACTAAGGGCGACGATATCGAATGAAGGGGGGAGCCGTGAATGTTCAAAAGTATGCGGTAGCATGGCTACTACACCCTATAAATACCGCAGCCCCTTGTGCAACAACCACCCATTTCTGCTTTTTTGTCTCTGATGATGTATTTGAGCAGGAATTCGGAATGCCAGGCTAATGAAGCTCTTGGCCTATCGATTGTGTCTCCTTCTTTAAAACATTGCTCAAATTTCACAAATAACTATCTTTGCAGAATTTCGCTTTGATATGTTGCTTTTAATGAGGGAACGGTATTCAATTTCTAAGCAATGTAAACGCTGAAAAACATGTGATATTTACAGTCACGCTGATTTTTTTGGTATATTTTTGCAGTTGCCATCTACTTGCGATGACTGCAAACTATCGTCTCCGAATGTGATTCGCTTTTAAAATTTTGCATATATGTTTTCACCAGTGAGATTGTTCTTATCGTTAACAAACTTGATTGCAGCAGTCGAATCAACACTTTGTCAGAAGGAGGCAACAGAGGATACTAAGAGGCTCATCGGACACCAAATGTGTCGTCTCTCCTGATGGTCCACAGGCCGCGGGAAGTGCTTTCCAAGGTCGAGCGTAATGCGCTTAGATAGCTTAAGGCCGACAAAGACCTGGTCATCGTGCCAGCGGACAAAGGACGCGCCACAGTTGTACTGGACAGGACAGACTACCTTCAAAAAACCAAAGGTTTACTGGAGGACCGACAGATCTATGTCCCATATGCAACGAACCCTTTAAAGGCGCTGACACGCGGAATTAATGCTACGTTGTTGGCCTTGGAGAACTCAGGTGCAATAACACCGACTGACACACGCATGGCGAGACCCCAAGATACGGCTTCAGCCCGACTCTATGCCCTCCTTTAGGTGCACAAAGTCGACGCTTCTCTCCGACCCATCGTGTCGCTGAAAGAGACTCCAAAGTACGGACTGGCTAAGCGGCTGTTCCGGCGTCTTAATTTCCTGACAGCTGAGACAGACACCACTGTCTCTTCGTCAGCACAATTCCTGGAGAAACTCAAAGGGGTAAGCATCCATCCAAATGAGGTCATGATATATTTTGTTGTTACATCCCTTTTTACGTCTATTCCCCAGGACCTGCCGATCGAGACAATTGAGCTGCTACTACAAAGCAAATACGATGAAACTGAGAACCGTCTAGGGCACACCCGAGTCGTTCAGCTCTTGAAGCTCTGTCTCATGACGTACTTCACTTTCGACGGGACATTCTGCGAACAGGCGAAGGGCACATCAATGGGTTCGCCGATTTCGGGATTCATCGCCGAAGCGGTTCTGCAACGGTTAGAGTCGCTGAGCTTCCAAACGACAGACCGAAATTCTGGGCCGGTATGTGAATGACACCTTCGTCGTCATCGAACGGGATCAGGTGCTGACATTCCAGGAACATCTCAACGGCATCTTCCGGGACATTCAATTTACGATGGAGGAGGAAGAGAACAACCAGCGGGCCTTTCTGGATGTCCTCGTATGCCGCAAAGATTGTGGTGGACTAAAAACCAAAGTGTTCAGGAAAGCGATAAATACGATGCAAGTTCTGAACTTCAACTGTAACCACCCAACCAGCCACAAACGCAGTTGTGTAAGGACGCTCCATCGGCGTGTCGAAACGCACTGCAGTGAGCCAGAAGACAAAATTGCTGAACTACAATACCTCCGACGGGTCTTCAAAGCCAATGCCTACCCGCGCAACTTCGTCGACCGATGCATACGCAAAAGGGACGAAAGACATAACCGCACGGACACCAAATCTTGCTGGGCTCTTCCGTATGTCAAGAACGTTTCTGAAGCTGTCGGCCGCCTTCTCGTACCAATAGGATTTGAAGTTGCACAGAGACAAGATGCAATAATCAGGCGTCTGGCCATGAAACCGAAAGACCCACTGCCACGGCTAGAAACGGCTGGAGTGGTTTATCGGATCTGGTACAGTTGCGGACAAAGCAAATACGTCGGACAGACCGGAAGACAGCTCCGAACGAGAATGGCCGAACACGCGGCAGCGGTGCGCAGAAATGACGCCAGCTCTCAAGTTGCGGCTCATTCGACGAGATCCGGCCACACATTCCGATTCGATGAGGCCGAAATTCTTGCAAGAGTTTACAACCGCGTGAACCGGGGGCTACTTAAATCATGGTTTACTGGCCCCAGTCCATCAACAAGTGCAACGATATTCCCACTCAATACTCCGTGCTAAAACTTCGCATAGGCCGAGTAATAAGTCATGCAGTTAGCGCAGAGGTGAACACTTTTCCCAACACCGGGGTCGGTACGTCAGATGGTCGAGCATTCATCACGCCAACATCCAACGCACGTGATGAAATTGCAGCAATTATCGACTCGACTGTCGGCCATCAAGCAATGATCACACTAAGGGCGACGATACCCTATAAATACCGCAGCCCCTTGTGCAACAACCACCCATTTCTGCTTTTGTTGTCTCTGATGATGGATTTGCGCAGGAATTCGGAATGCCAGGCTAATGAAGCTCTTGGCCTATCGATTGTGTCTCCTTCTTTAAAACAATACTTAAATTTCACAAATAACCATCTTTGCAGAATTTGGCTCTGATATGTTGCTTTTAATGAGGGAACCGTATTGAATTTCTAAGCATTGTAAACGCTGAATATCATGTGATATTTACAGTCACGCTGATTTTTTGGTATATTTTTGCAGTTGCCATCTACTTGCGATGACTGCAAACTATCGTCTCCGAATGTGATTCGCTTTTAAAATTTTGTATATGTTTTCACCAGTGAGATTGCTCTTATAGTCAACAAACTTACCTTTAATCATAAAGAGATCAAATATGCAACAGCGAAACGGGAAATCATGCAGAATCATTTGGCATTGGAAATTGATCATGTTGTTCGCAAATCGTTGCCGTATAATTGACATTCTTATCAATAAACAATTCCGAATGTTCTTAATAGGTCGTAGGTTGATTTTCAGCGACTTGGTCAGTAGATGGGCTTAGAGTACTGAGTGTCGTGCAGTAGACAGTCCTTACGAACTAAGTCAAATCTAGCGTCATTGTGCATGTGCTTATGAAATACTCAGGGATTTTTTATTCTCTAATCAGTGAGTATATATTCAGATATCCTCTTTATGTTGCCGTAACTTGCTAATATATGTAACTTGGTGATGTTTGACTGTAAGACATTCACATCATGCCTTTGACTATTGGACCACTGCTGCCGACCGTGTACGTCATGTGCTACATAAATAAGTTGAGTTTGCCACGGTGGCATGTGAATGAATTAGTTTATTATATATTAGTTTAGTGTACAGCTGCGCTGTTTATAGCGCACTCCCCCTCCCTTCCCCCTTCCTCACCCAAAATCGTCAACAAGACATAGTCAAGAAGACCGGAGGGGGGAGAGGTTACAGCTGGCTGGTACGGTTGCACCTGCACCAATGCGTACTACCAAACCCCTGATACAAACAAATACTTAACCAGAGTTCTAACCAACAGCAAGGTCACAGCGGGTCAGAGTGACGATGAGGATGACTGGGCGGCCATGATCACGGCTTGCAGATCCTGACACAGGAGATGCTGACAATTGAGATTTGAAAATGCAAAATATCCGCGTCCCCCTCGTTTTCACAGTCTCCAACACCGGGAGCTCTAACGGTTCTTCCTTCCCTCCTCCTGCCCCACGGCCTACCATAACTAGGTGCCCACCCCTCTCACACATCAGCTGTCTGTTTGTCGTTGCCGACCTAGACTGCCGACTTCACCTTCTCTCTGTTCATTTCTTCTGACGACGGGTCGGTGTCACCGATTTGAAAATTTACGAGTACAACTAAATTTTCCAAAGACCCTTCACTTTATCATGTGCATATATATATTGGCAGAATGGTAGTAGCGGCGAAGATAAGGGAGACTGGAATGGCCATTTGTGGCTTATTAGCCATCGTCAGGCGACCATTCTCAAGCCCGAAGTGTGGAGCACCCGAGCCTTGAACTCACGAGCTGTTGGTTTAAACGTCCAAGCCCCTACTCACCGGGCATCGATCTCGGGTTCTTTACACTTCGTGCTTTGGTATGGCTGGCTGACGACGGCTGATAAGCCAGAAATGGCCATTTCAGTCTCCCTTGTCTTTGTCGGTATTACGATTCTGCCTATATATCATGCACCACTGTGCGGCTGCTGGTTGGGTTCCAGAAAGACCCCTTAAGGCACAACGGAACGAGTGAGTTCCGTCTAAACCATCGGTGAGCGCCTCCTATCATTATGTATACAGGCGCACACCGATATGTTGTCTTCACGAAGCAAACAAACTCCGTATGTGTGGCAAAGGTCACGAACATGCAACCGATAACCGGGTCAATTCATAATAGCAGCGAGGGGGTAGGACGGATATTGCGTGTAGTTTGATACAGTTCTCTTTCGGGCTTATTGTCCCTTCCTTCTGCCAATCATTACACTGACCAACTTCTTAGGCTTCATACTGCATTCCCGACACGAATATTAACTCAGTGCCTTAGCACTTATTTCGCCGATGTTTCTTCCGCAACATGACGCAGTGACCAGTTATTCCTTCCCACAATGGGTTATGTCCTGGACAGTTTTCTCTACGTTACTTAATTTATAATTTATTAAGTCATTTTTCCAAATACCCTTACATATACCGTAGGTGCTGACTTTTTCATTATTATCCGAAATCACAAATGGGCTTTTAATTCGAATATATTTTACCATGTTAACTTAATACATCGACATTTAGCAAAATGCCCAGAATTCATTGGTGTGTTCAAATACGCCTCCTGATGTATGCTGAAAGCGTCAAACTTGCCACATTGCTGCAATTCTTTCTCTCACCGTCTTTCTGGTAAGGTAGACGATGCTGTCAATAGCCGAGATCCTGCAATTGCAACAGGCTTTTGTCTGCTTTCCGGCTCAATGTTTTTGGAGCACGGTTTCCATTTAACTGACCTCAGTTGTAAAGAACTGGATGAAGGTTGTCATCAGGATTAAATCATATCAGTCACTATAGCCAATAATGCGATGGTCACAAGAAAAGCAGTCGAACAATACTATGCCGCCGGAATATCTAACTCGGGTTGAAAATATTTCGATCCGTTATAATTGGCTGAATGAAGGCACAATAAGCCCAAACTGTACTGTATCAATTTTCCCACATTCTCTGTTCTCCCTCATCGCTGTTATTATGACTTGGTCGACTTCGCCCTGGTAATTGGTTTCTTGTTCGTGACCTTTGACACACTTACGCAGCTTGTTTGCCTCGTGAAGCCAATATATCTCTGCGCGCCCATTCGTGATTGAATATATATATATATATATATATATATTTATATATTATGATATAGGGCGATCACCGATCAGCTTACGGAACATGCTCGTTCCGTTGTGCCTTGGGGCTCATACTTAAACCCTCGCAGGCAGTCGCCCAGCGACTAGTGATATATGTTGGAAAGGTAATACCGACAAAGACAAGGG